GAGGATGCAGGAGCTCCAGGGAATGCAAGTGAGTGACCCTAAAATGCAAGAGCAAGTTTGATTTTCAGAAATGAGATACAGACGCTCCTTGCCCACACACAATATTTTTTTTTTGGACATTTTTTTTTAGCTGTCAAGGCCGTCTGGCCGTGAATTTTAATTCTACAATGTTTCAGAACGAACGAATTGTGGATTTATTATTTTTGAAATATTGATTTGATGAATTACTATTTGTCTGTTCAGAATTAGTGATAGGTATATAGGCATATACTGCTCTTAATGAACTGTAAATAAATGTTAGTCATGCCTGTGAATGTTTCCTTTTTTGGAACTATCACAGTATTCCTAAGTTACTGTTTGAATATTAATGGGTGCAATTATAGGCCTAAATTGATCTGATTTTGGAATAGTTTTAGTTCCACACAGCCTTCAGTTAGAAAGAAAATATTACATGTATTGGACATATAGAATGAAAATAAGAATTTATTATTGTAACCCTTCCTATTAGATAATGGTACCAAAATCATTAGAGTTGATAAGTATCAGGATATTGATCATCAGTTTTATTATATAGCTTTTGGTATGTTACTAGATTATGGAAATCAATGTAATAAAATAGAGAAAAATTGTAAGTATGATTTAACTAAAATCTCTTTATATACATAGTCAGCTAAGCTTTCATATCTTTATTTTCTGTCATTTGTGTAAATTCTTGTTTTAAATAGAGGATGGGTAAACGCAAAGAAAATAGTAGATCCAGGAATATAGATAAGTTTAAAACCCTTTTAAAGAAAAATAGATAAAGAAAGAAATATTTACCATTATCAACATTACCACTTTTCAGTATAAAATAGGGAAAATCTGAAAAAAATGTTCTAATAGAGGTAAAAATTACACACACATGAAATTATCCACTCAGACAAAATTAACATCAGAAAGGATGAGTTCAAGGTAATAGGATGGGTGTTCGGGAATTGGAGTTAGGAAGGTTTTTGATTCATATTGTTATGTGAATTCCTAATGTTGCTGGCTGGAGTAATACAGATTTACTAACCATTCTTTTGTTCAGTAAATGCAGTTTTGATTTCCATAAAAGGTTTTCAGGAAGCAGTATTTTCATCAAGGAAACTCCAACATAAAAGCCCTTTTTTTTCCTCCAGTAACTACTTGGGAAAACTTTTTATGTCTCAGAATATTCCAGAAATAATTCTCTCTCTCTCTCTCTCTCTCTCTCTCTCTCTCTCTCTCTCTCTCTCTCTCTCTCTCTCTCTCTCTCTCTCTCTCTCTCTCTCTTTCTTTCTTTCTTTCTTTCTTTCTTTCTTTCTTTCTTTCTTTCTTTCTTGGGATCTTTGTACTGTCAAGCACTTCTCAGTGCAATGATTGAGATTATGGTGTCCTTTTGGCATCCCTGAACTTCTGACTTATATTCATCACAGCATAATGGTTAATAACCTAATCTTTATGGTTCATAGAAGCGATTGTTCTTAGAGAATTTCAGTGCAACCAAAAGCATTCAAGTGGATAAATAAAGCATCAAGCAGCTTTAACTTCAGTTGATTTCTCTTATATGAAATCCCAAAGCCTCTGTAGTTATTCTTCTGTTGATTTTAGTGCTTTAAAGGAATGGGGTTTATGTGATATGTAATTTCTTAAACTATTAACACACTTGAGAAGTACAAAAACTAGGAATTGACAATATATGTAAGTTCTGTTGTGAATATGGGCGTCTCTTCAAGAATTTGTGTACATGATGAATGTCTGCATTTTGATACTATGTACAATATCTGTTTGATATTTTAACATATGCTTTAGATGCAGGATTCTCCATTTGGAGTCAAAGTTCCTGGTAATCCTTCAGCTGTGCAGGTAGATATTAGCCTGACCTGATAACTGAGAGTGGGATAACCTCTCCCTTAACAATTGTTTTTTTTTTTTTTACATAAAGCTGTGATTAATAGTAACCATTTATTTATTGTTGTGTTATTGCTGATATATGTGATTGTTTATTTTTTTTGTTTATTTATTTTTTTACAAAGTGTGCCTGTGAGCTACCCCCTCTTCCTGGTTTTGATTTGTTTTTTGACATTGTAATTTCAGCTTCAAAAGCATGTTTATATTGTTTGTACATCAGATTAAATTTAATGTTTTTCCTCCTAATGATTTTGATTTATTTAGTGCATGGCTTTCAAGTGTATAAGTAAAGCTTTGAAGATAGAAAAGTAAAAGCTCATATTTGTTTTAAATGCAGCTAAAAGTTCTTCCTTCAAAATTTCAGAAATACTTTTATTATAAAGTGTTGTTCCTTGAGAATTATTTAATTTCTTTTCGTACATGAGTATGTAAGTGAGTGTATGGATTTCAGTATGAATTAAATATGAATTGCTACCAGTTACTTATTTTTTCAGTTTAGTATATTTTATTATTGCACCAAAAATTTTGAATGCACTTACCTTCACTGATATTTTAAAAGAATATTACAATCCTGGGCTTAATTTTTTCAGGGTCAGCAGCAGAAGCAGGAGGAGATGATGCAGCAGCAACAGCAGGCAATCAATGGGCTGCTAAACCAGGTGCTTGACCAACAGGCTAGAGCAAGGTGTAAGTGCGGTCTTGGAAATTTTGGCAATTTTTAAAAATACGTAGAGCAAATGATGATAGATTAATTTCTGCTAGGATATTTTGATACTTTTTTCAATACCTAGTGCAAATGATAATTGATTAATTTCTGCTAGGATATTTTGATACTTTTATCAATACCTAGTGCAAGTGATATATTAATTTCCAAATCTTGATATCTGCCTTGAAACAAGTTTTAGGATTATAATTATAGCAAAAATATGGTCTTTGTGTTTCCTTGTCAACTGTAAACTTATATAATTATACCTCCTTTAAGAGCGTTATTTTTTGTGCTTGATTTTTCTGTTGTTAGGTAAACAGTGTATTAGGTGGTATCTCTGCATAATGTCCCCAGTGGGAGAGAGCTGAACTCTTTGCATTTGTGTTCTCTTCATACCTGACTGTTATAATTAGCAATTGGGATAGAAAAGTGAGCAGTGAAGGTATATATCTGAATAGGTAAATAAACTCAGCCTGTGAGAGAAAGGAGGGTTAGTGAGGAGCTTAACAGAAGCAGGCAGACAGGCAAAAATGTCACTTCTGTTTTACTGCAGTAAATTATTTATTTATAGAATTATTTGCTTTTTTTGACAGTAAACACCATCATGGTAGCCAAACCTGAGAAGGGCAAACAAGTCGAGTCTGTCATTGTTCAGATGGCAACTACGGGTCAGATTGGTGGGAAATTGTCAGAAAATGACCTTATTGGCCTTGTTGAAAGAGTTAATGCACAAACACAGAAAACGACAACAGTTAAGGTATGTCATGAGAAATTTGGTACCCAATTTAAGGTTAGGTGTATAAAAGAGTTTGTGTGTGTGAGCAAGGGAGTATACAGATGTAATGGGAACAAGACTTCAAGAGCTGCAAGTGAGTGAGTGGGTGGACGAGTGAGTGAGTGGGTGGACGTGTGAGTGAGTGGGTGGACGAGTGAGTGAGTGGGTGGACGAGTGAGTGAGTGGACGAGTGAGTGAGTGGGTGGACGAGTGAGTGAGTGGGTGGACGAGTGAGTGCGAGTGAGTGACGAGTGACGAGTGAGTGAGTGGGTGGACGAGTGAGTGAGTGGGTGGACGAGTGAGTGAGTGGGTGGACGAGTGAGTGAGTGGGTGGACGAGTGAGTGAGTCGGTGATGGAGTGGACAAATTAGTGAGTGAGTAAGGGTGTAGGATGTGTTAGTGAGGGAGAGGATGAGTAAGTCAGTGGATGGATGGAAGACAAATGGATGCACTCATTCATTCACACAAGTGTGTACTCATGTATAAGTTTTTAGTTTAGAGAAATGAAAGATTGTCTTTTTCTCTAGATATCATTTTAGAATATTAAATTTCCAGTGCATTTTTTAAAGATCATATACATATTTCTGTGGAACTTTGCAATAATTTAGAATGAAAAGATAAGAAGTACATCATTCCCAATTTTCTGTTGCAGTTTGACCGACGACGAGCTGCTCTTGATGACGATGATGATTGGTAAATCATTGTCACGAGAAGGAATCAAAAGAAATCCCAGACTTAAGCCATGAAGCACACATTTTGCCTACATTTTTACTCCGCTTTCTAGATTCTTTCATAACCATATTTTTTTCATCTATTTCTTACAATTGCCTTTCTCTTGAAATATAGGTTTTGAGACTTATCATTTGTGTTTTTTTCTGGTGTGAACTAGAAAATTTCTATTGTGCTTTTTGGTAACAATTGAAAAAGAAAACATTTTTTTCTGTATTGATAAATATGTATTTTTCTTTTTTCTGTAAAGAAAAATATATTTTTTTCAAGTCATAACTGATTTTCTCTCAAGGTTTTCTCTTTTGTTTGTTCTGTTGGTTTTGCTCAACTTTTTGAAGAATTATGAAGAAGTTGGTTGTTTTTACTGGATCTGAAATCATGGCAAACTGCAATCTTATGCTCTCTACAAGACTTTTAAATATCTCACTTATTTCTAAGATCTGCTTTTCCTAATAAAATCAGTCAGCAATATAAAATGATACCTGATCATAGTTTTTTTTTTTTCTATGAAAGAGAGATTGTTGGGGGTTTCAAATAAAGTTTGCAGAAACCAAAGTATTTTTTCACAATCCCTGCCAATGTGTGATCAGACTGAGTGAATAACTTCAGTTGCACTTTTTACTATGATCCTCTACTATGTAAGACTTGCGTCCTTTGCACTATGCATAACCCAGGCTTAAATATTCATGGCTTAATTAATATAAAATTACAACTGTAACAGATAGCGTTAAAGGACTATGTAGGCACTATGCAACCCAATTTTAATATTTCAAATAAAGTAATTGTCAGCTTGTATTATTCATCCAAAGTGAGATTAGGGTTGTTGTTAGTACTTGATGTGTGGCCTTCGTATTAAAATCAACTATGTGTCTACTCTATGAGTAGCTTGCCTTGGAACATTTTCACTTCTGTTGTTGGAAGACAATACATGACAATGTATTTTGCTAATTCAGATTAATGAAGGAGGGCAGAACAGTCTAGTTTTTAATGATATTCTGTTAGGTGACAGTTAATTGTAACCTTCAGAAGGTAATTAACTAACTAGTCTCATGTTATAGTCACAACAAAGCTGTCTCAATTGTATTGAGTGGGTATGTTTTGTACAATTGTGTTGTCAGTTTCTGTTCCATGATTGCTTATACTTGTTTATTAATAAAGTCTAAATTGCAGTAGTGCTAGTTTTGCTTCCTTCCTGTTAAAATGTAACTGTTGGGTTGATATTAACACATGCAGTCTACAGAAAAGGTTTATGATACTGCACTGACTATATTACTATAACAGTCTGGGTTTAACCTTTAAAGTCCTACAGTACTTGAATGACTATATTTGTACTTTGATACTTAATCCAATTGTGCTGGTGGGCTGCACCTTCATTTAGTTATTATGTATTATATTAGTTTTGAAACTCTTTTTGCTGTCAGAGTGATTGGGAATGTCTGGAAGTAATTCTGACTCTGGTAAGTTTCTCTTATTTCTCCCCAAAACCTACTCCCATTCCCAAACACCTTCCATCACAATCAGAACAGAATCACAGAAATATTTCATGGTCCCACAGTGAAAAAGTAAAGTAAGTAAAAATAAAGAAATTCTCAGTGTATAGCATATACACAATACACATTCCCCCATACCCATTGTGCACCCTTGTGTCCCTGAATCAGTACAAATTCCTCCTACAGTTTCCCGCCTTTATTGTGTGAATGAAAGTATGAAATAATAATTATAATGATGACATACATACAGACAACCCCTTGTGCCCCTCCTACAATATTAGATTTTACATATCTGCTTTTACTACTGTCTTAGGGTGCATCAACACCAGTGACAAAACACAGTGGGAACATTGACTGACAAGTTGGGTTAACAAGTTGGTAAGTCATTGAGGAACATCGCAGTAGACATGTTGATACGGAATTTTGTTGGGTGACATGTTAGCAGTCTTGGTGTGGATGAGGTGATGTTGTCAGAGACCTCCCACTAACCAACAGACCAATATGGTGTGGACAGTTTCACCAACTCAACTCTTATTGCTGATATGTCTCTCAAAATTGCAACAGATGTGTTCCCATATATATCAGGAGATTTGTATCCGAATGTCTCCTATTGTGTCTCCCACAATGTCTCCAGCTGTTGTGGATGCACCCTTATGCATACAGATAGAGGATTTACTGCTTTATTGCTGTCTGTCTGTCTATCTCTCCTCAATATCTTCTACAGTAGTGGTAACTTTTTTTCAATATTGATACTCCACTGCTTATTAACCCATTGCCTCTGGCAGAATATGGGTTCATTTGTCCTCCGCTCTAGGTAGTATGCGCTGCCAATTTGGCTTGCCTGTGGGGCATTTTTCAGACACACTGTGTCTTGTATGCAAAATATGATTTCAATGTTTTTGCACATTCATAGAGGCATGATATGCATATTAGTTGCTAGATTAAAGCTGTATTAGCCACATCATGCACAGAGTTCATTGTAATATATAAGGTATGTTATATATTACACTGTTTACATTATCAAATGTGATTTTATTGAAGGATGAGATTTTTGAAAAATCACTCATTTTTGCAAATCTTATATGTATGAAATACAAGATTGTATGCAGGGATAACAAGGCTGCTGCCCAATAGCTACAGTACTTCCCTTATTTGTGTCATACTTCAAGACAGTCACAATGGCAGTGCCAAAAGACTGTGTAAGCAGTTACGGGTTCACATGAATTGTAAGAGAGCATCAAATTTTTGTGCGTGGTATCTTCCACACAGGTGAAAAATGTGTGTGCTAAAATTTGCCCTTTATACAAAACAAAAGCCAATCATAGCATTACACAACCCATTCTCACTCAAGCAGAGCTGCAGGGTATGTGGTGTGGGCATGAGGGTTCATTATGAAGAACAGCATAAAATGCAATGCAAGCATAATTGTAACAGGATGTGAACGACCCATAGCCCGGAGCTACATCAAAGTTGGCTGTGATGTGAATTACACATAACCTGGAGCCCCAACCAAGTCAGCCATGATGTGATCCCCACCTGATCCATAGATGGAGTTAACTATGTGATATACCAGCATGAGACTTCTGGATTAGATTTGAGGTCTACAAACATTAAAGATCAAAACTGTCCATGGTAAAGGTTCAGAATATGATGCTTTTTACAGGTGGACAGCATGGTTAGGGTTAGAAATTGGTAAACAAGTTTATTTGAAGTTAAAAATTTATTGATTCCTTAAAGTTGCCTTCTCATAAAAATGAGGGGCTAGTTCTAATAACCAAGCAGGATCAATGACAGTAAGGTCCCTCATGAATACCCGAGATGTGTGTAGCACCTCGTGAAACAGCACCCTGAAAGAGTTTTTGATTAGAACCTGTTGCAAATTTTCACATTAAATATTTAACATCTGGTTATACATTATTACATTACAAGTTGACTCAAGTTCCAAAAAGTTTTATTTTCTTTGTAAACAGTAATTGTGGTGAACACTTCAAACCATACCATTGTGGTTGACTTTCTTTGTAGAGCATAGATGATGGATGGATATGCAGGGTTTGTTGTCCTCGCACAGTTTTGTATGATCCAGAATGATGGAGGAAAGCAGCATTTGGAAACATGCCAGCTGTGATACATTTGCACACTGCATCGACACCACCTATCACATCAATGAGAAATCATATGTTATCAATATTTGTGCCATTAGGCCAAATTATCTGACATTCAAATGGTCATATACACTGATCATACAAAAGTATTCTAACCTTCACATGATTTTAGAGGAATTTCAAAATTAGCTATTAGTTTCTCCATTCTTCCCCGGATTTCAGATGCTCTCCGGAGTGCACGATGATTGAGGAAGTTCTTGACACACCACTGCTTTGATTCACCTTGTTTGACATAAGCAGTGAATACATTCAACAGTGTTATCAGATCTCCTTCCTTCACCTGGAAAACATAAAAGAAAGGTATTCCAATCTATCAGCCTTCACTTTAATGGATAATGAATATGAAAATAAAGAGAAACTAAATTAAGAGTATGTTATAACTCTCATGCATTTGTCTACTAATTTTTCAAAATTAATGATTTTTTTATCATTTTCATTCTCTATTAGTAAAATTTCATCTTTTCCTTTTATGTACAACTAATAACATTCTAACATGTTGATGCGGTAAATAATCATTTTTTATTTTTCTCATTCTCTATTAGTAAAATCTCACATCTTCCTCTTCTATGTACAGCTAATAACATTCTTATGTGCTGATTCAGTAACTAATCTATTATCAGTTGATCAATCCCTTTCTATCTTGTACTCTCAACTGCTTATCACAATTATCTTAAATTTCCTACTTATGTTTTTCATCTTCCTAGTTCATTGCCCCCTCTAAACCACTTCTTTCTCTGTCCTTTTGTCTGTTTCTAGCT